GCAAATTATATAATTGAGCCTTAGTGCTTATGCTCTTCTATAAACAAAACTTACGTGCCACCAGCGAAAAACAACAATTTCATATCGTGTGCAACTTCAGTTCGGCTTTGACAAATTATATAATCGAGCTTGAGAACTATCCAAAAGGTGAACGGAGTTTCAAAGCTAAGTTTACAGTATTCTTTCAAAGTTTTGCCTTTTTACACTGTTGATTTGACTCACGGCGAAAACATTGTAAAAGTTAGCGGCATTTTTTGGTTTCGTTGGAAGTCCGCTGACCAATAAAATACTGTATCGTGCCTTAAAAAACCTATTTCCGCGGTGTCTATACAACCTGCTCGAAGACAAATTACTTGAGAATTCTTCTTAAAACATGAAAGTGAACGATAGGGTTACTCCTCTTAACATATAAATAGTCCTGTTTGACGACGTATTTAATCATAAAAGTAACAGTAGGAGTTCTTTAATTACCCAGGTTGTTCTGTTAGAAGAATTTCTGATCTAGCGGCCTGTATTGCTGCTTGTTGATGTTGTGACTCTTATGACTTAAGTTTGCCTCGCAACTTCTTGTCTTTTACATGCTGATGGGCGAAAACTTTAAAGGTTAGTCTTAAAGTAAGAACATGGCGCTTCGGCACAAGGTCTAGACGAAACCTTGACTCAACAACAATTAAAACAACAAAAACTATAGCTTCGTTCAGTTCGCTTACTTTGAATCGATTTTGCTTTCCTCGGTGGTATTTCTGCAGTTTCTTTTTGTCCACTGGATCTTCACCCTTACCCTTCTTCTTGCTTACTGCCTCCATTTCTAAAGATTCCTTCCGATCAATAAGTTTCCACACACGAGAAATCAGATTTGGCAGCCAAAAGCATGCGTTATCTGGCTTCGTCCGCCATCTTGAGTAAATTTATAATACCGCTGATTTCATGGCCTGCGGTTTCTATCAACCTCATACTCAGATCCCCGCAACAATGGCTCAAGTAAAAGGAATCGTGTTGGCTTTGAGAAAGTATAAAGGAAAATTTCGACTTGAATGCACTACGAAACATCTGCAGAAGTGGTAACTGAGTCATACCTGCCGATTATAGCTTCTATTTTGGCGAGTAATAATTTCTCCAAAATGACAGAAAACTAAAGATTGACGTCTCTGCTACTAAATTTTACAAGGCGGGGCATATACACTGTTTTTATTTCACAAGGTCGTCTGATTTTTGGGCTGAACATGAAAAAAGTCTTGCTTTTTAGCATTTTGAGCCCGAAAATGTAAGATGTACACGGTATAGTATTTCAAATGAAACAAAGAGGAAGTGACCAAGAAACTGACAATCATAGTTCTGCGGTTTGTTAGGCTTGGTTTCGAACAAAAAGAAAAATGAAAAAAATTAAAAATCGAAGTTATTACTAAGTGTGCTCTACGTGGATAGGCACAAATGACACACAGAGATTTGATTCGAATGTTGCAAGATTGGAGATATGAAAAGTTGACCTCGTGGTCGCACGGCTTAAAGAATTCCACCGTCCAAATGCGTCTCGGTTCTGTACTGGTATATCTTCACAGTGTCTACGCGCCAACCTTACGGCGCTGTTCAGGAGAACGTGACGTTGCGTTAAATTTATAGTATTTTTAAAATGAGTGACAGGGATCAAAAAGTCAAGTACTTTTACTTCGTTCGAGATTTTGCCTTGTGAAGATCGAGTATTCGCCAAGGAGGTTTTGTCCTTAGTCAGAATAAAGTAAAACTTTGAGTTTAAACGCGGATTTATTGAGTCGTTCTTAACAGGCGCATATCTGCGTTGGTAAACGTGGGAGTTCATTCTTTTGAAAATTATTGGTTTTTAATACGGAAAGGGAACTTGGATGTATTCACTATCAAGAACCATCGCCGATAATGGCTCCCGTTATTATATATTCTACAAAATCTAATTGAAATACAAAACATTTTAAAATTCTTCGCTTGTCTTTAGGAAATAGTTTTCATCATGTTGTGGCTAAATATAGAGCAATAAAAAACTGATTGAAAGCGTCGGTAAAAATTATAAAATAAAAGTAATCGTTTTGAAGTCTGCCTCGAAGATTGCGTTGTCATGCTGTCTTGAAAATTTTCATTAATTTTATAGTTTTCATTTTTCTTTCTGGGCGCCAAATCACCTGTGCAATCGTCTGATCCACCACGATCTCAGCTTGCAACAGTTTCACTTTAAGATGCAAATTTTTCCTTAGTCTAACATTAAAATCTAACCGTGGTAATACAATTATCCTATTTGCATTTTCGAGTAGTAATGTAATGCAGAGATACCGAGTGAGTGACGAGTTGATGTATTTGTCCATTCCTCCCTTTTCGTAAAGCCACTGAAAATTCTAATGAATTGTGTACAATGGGAAACGCAATTAAGGGACTTAAACCTAGAAATTAAACGAGGGAAAATTGCGCGAGTTGCAAATAACAGTTTATTGGTGAAGTTTATGAGCGAGTTAATTTTCTACGTGTTTTTCGCTGATTTGATTTTTTTTTCATCAGGTGTGGATACAAACACCGTAAGTTTATTTGCAAAGATGTTTCCCTATTGTACAATAGAAAGGCAGGATAGAAGCAACTTTATTATGCCGTAATTTATAATGGACAGCTGGCGAGGAAATAGAAAACGCACCTGGTTTCAACGCCGCCTAAGGAATCTTTTCATTGGTTTGAAATAAACTGAATTATTAGTCGCTAAAATAAGATTGACCAAAGTTATCGATTGAATCTGCGGAGATAAATAATGAATTCGTTCACAGGACTGCAGTAGAGTGATTTGCAATCATTTGCCTTGGTGCCGTGGTTTGTGTTTCAAGCGAGGAAGCTGTTTTGCCGGTCGCAGATCAAAGTTCACCTTTTTCTTGGCTTCAACCGAATACAACTTAAGCTCAACGTTTCGAAGCACCCTTGTTGTGCCTCACGACTGAAAGTTCATCATGTCGTTTGCGGGTTTCAAGAAACAAATTAATAAGGCGAATCAGTTCGTAAGCGAGAAGATGGGTTCGGCCGAAGGAACCAAGATGGAAGATGAATTCGTCGAACTAGAGCGGAAAACGGACGTAATGACAAATCTGGTTACGCAGTTACTTGGCAAAACCAAGGAGTATCTTCAGCCTAATCCTGCTGTACGCGCTAAGATCTACATGCACATGGCTGCACAAGGAGCCAAGTATCCTCAACCCGAAGGAGCCCTTGGTGACATCATGCTGAAAAGCGGCCATGACTTAGATGCTCAGGCCTCTGATTACGCTTCTGCTTTACTCGACGTCGGCAGCGCGCTGATCGAAGTCGCCGACACCCGAGATGTCATGGACGCACAAGTGCATGAGAATTTCCTGATGCCGTTGCATGAGTTAGACGAAAAACAGCTGAAAGAACTCGCACAGCATCGAAAGAAGCTTCAAGGCCGCAGGCTCGATTTTGACTGCAAGAAACGAAAGGGGAATAAGATCTCTGTGGAAGAAGTGAAAATGGCTCAATACAAGTTTGAAGAATCTAAGACGATTTGTCAAGAGCAGATGACGGTGCTTATGGGGAACGAAGTGGAGCGAATTCATCAACTCAGCCAGCTTGTCTGCGCTATGCTGGAGCACCACAAGAAATCAGCCGACACCCTCGAGCGATTATTGCTCTTACTCAATAAGAGGGTACAAGCTACAAGTCGAAACGGCAACATCGCCGCAAAGCCCAACCCCGCAGAAATCTCAGTGGACCAGGGAAAGTCGGAAACTTCCGCCAAAGGCACGAATCCTTTGGCCGGGGAATCGGATTCTGCCGAGAAACCGAAGGCGGAACAAACAGCGAGCAATAAGCCAAGCTGTCGAGCAAAATGTGATTACAAGGCTGAAAAAGATGGCGAACTGTCGTTTTCAGAAGGCCAAGTCATCATGCTGTCCGAAAAACTCAACGAAAATTGGTACGAGGGAGTTTTGGATGGAAAGCTTGGTCGTGTTCCTGTTAAACATGTCGAGATCTTGGTAGATCTACCATAGAAATATTTTCGAAGGCTGTAACCAATTAACGCCCTCGAACACATTGAAATTAAAAGGTTTCCTGAGCCAGTTACCAACATAATTGAAATTCTGTTATTGTGTGGATTCAAGATAGATATGAAATAACTTTTGTTTCATTGTATTCTTTTATTTTCAACGTTGTTTTTTCTTGATATTTATTTCCACAACGAAGGAGACAACAATTTAATGCAAAGAATCGAAGTACATCAATGTATCTGTTTTGAGTAGGATTGAAAGCATTACGATTTTCTCAAATTATATTAGGGATGAGATTTTTTATTTAAAACATACTGTTTAGATCTTTTTGGGTAAGAACTTCTCTGTTGGAGATTAGTGAAATATTAGCATAATGGAGCTGCTTTTATAGTTCGTTTCCGTCAGATTTGAATCGCATTCAGTCAAAAGACACTGTGTTCGATTTTACAAATTACGTTGTATCTCAACCGCTGTGGTCTTCGAGGAAATGTTTTCCTTGACTCGTGTAAAATTATATTGTTCGAATTTAGGGAAAATAAAATATATATTGTTTTCATTCACAAAAATGTTTTAGATTTGTAGTAAGAAGTTGAACTGAGAGGAAAGGGTTTTCTGCGGCTTCGGTTGTTCTCTCCGGCACAGATCGATCTTTAAAAAAATTGAATCAAATTGTATTATTGTATTTTTTATTTTCGTTGTATGGCGCAAGTTTCGCCACTATGTTAGGGGAGACATCTGCTAATCATATGTTTAAGTGCTACTTCGGCAGATGCAGAAAGGAGTGTTCCATTTTGAAATATTGATAAAGGCAACTGTCGCAGGTATAAATCATATACATTCCTCAAAAATTGAGCTTATTTAGCACTGCCTCCCTTAGGTCTTCAATTAGCCTCGCCTCAGCAATTCACACATAACCTAATTGAAAAAGATAAGTTAAACGAATTTTAGGCAATGGACTGAACTCGCCGCGATGTTTTGTCGTGTCATTTCAGATCGTGAGCCGCTGCTTGAGGAACTATTTTTTTGACAAAAACTATTTATATCCGTTCCCGTATGGACATTAAATTTCAACTATATATTAAATTTTTCAAAGATTTCGAGTGGTTTGTAAAGATTAGTTAACGTACGGCTCGAACAAAGTATAGTGAAAATGACTGGTAACAAAGACGCCAAATCAGTTGGGGAGAGCTTTTAAAAATCTGTTAACTTGTTATCCGTGAAATTTACTATGTGAACCTCAGATCATCGGGTTTCCCTAAGCAGCCTTTGGATAATTTGGATATATCAACAAAGTTGAAATGGTAAATTGGCCACCGTAATGATTACAAAAGCTGACGAAGGGCTAACGCTCGAAACGTCAGCTTTTGTAATCATTACGGTGGCCAATTTACCATTTCAACTTTGTTGATATATCCAAATTATCCAAAGGCTGCTTAGGGAAACCCGATGATCTGAGGTTCACATAGTAAATTTCACGGATAACAAGTTAACAGATTTTTAAAAGCTCTCCCCAACTGATTTGGCGTCTTTGTTACCAGTCATTTTCACTATACTTTGTTCGAGCCGTACGTTAACTAATCTTTACAAACCACTCGAAATCTTTGAAAAATTTAATATATAGTTGAAATTTAATGTCCATACGGGAACGGATATAAATAGTTTTTGTCAAAAAAATAGTTCCTCAAGCAGCGGCTCACGATCTGAAATGACACGACAAAACATCGCGGCGAGTTCAGTCCATTGCCTAAAATTCGTTTAACTTATCTTTTTCAATTAGGTTATGTGTGAATTGCTGAGGCGAGGCTAATTGAAGACCTAAGGGAGGCAGTGCTAAATAAGCTCAATTTTTGAGGAATGTATATGATTTATACCTGCGACAGTTGCCTTTATCAATATTTCAAAATGGAACACTCCTTTCTGCATCTGCCGAAGTAGCACTTAAACATATGATTAGCAGATGTCTCCCCTAACATAGTGGCGAAACTTGCGCCATACAACGAAAATAAAAAATACAATAATACAATTTGATTCAATTTTTTTAAAGATCTATCTGTGCCGGAGAGAACAACCGAAGCCGCAGAAAACCCTTTCCTCTCAGTTCAACTTCTTACTACAAATCTAAAACATTTTTGTGAATGAAAACAATATATATTTTATTTTCCCTAAATTCGAACAATATAATTTTACACGAGTCAAGGAAAACATTTCCTCGAAGACCACAGCGGTTGAGATACAACGTAATTTGTAAAATCGAACACAGTGTCTTTTGACTGAATGCGATTCAAATCTGACGGAAACGAACTATAAAAGCAGCTCCATTATGCTAATATTTCACTAATCTCCAACAGAGAAGTTCTTACCCAAAAAGATCTAAACAGTATGTTTTAAATAAAAAATCTCATCCCTAATATAATTTGAGAAAATCGTAATGCTTTCAATCCTACTCAAAACAGATACATTGATGTACTTCGATTCTTTGCATTAAATTGTTGTCTCCTTCGTTGTGGAAATAAATATCAAGAAAAAACAACGTTGAAAATAAAAGAATACAATGAAACAAAAGTTATTTCATATCTATCTTGAATCCACACAATAACAGAATTTCAATTATGTTGGTAACTGGCTCAGGAAACCTTTTAATTTCAATGTGTTCGAGGGCGTTAATTGGTTACAGCCTTCGAAAATATTTCTATGGTAGATCTACCAAGATCTCGACATGTTTAACAGGAACACGACCAAGCTTTCCATCCAAAACTCCCTCGTACCAATTTTCGTTGAGTTTTTCGGACAGCATGATGACTTGGCCTTCTGAAAACGACAGTTCGCCATCTTTTTCAGCCTTGTAATCACATTTTGCTCGACAGCTTGGCTTATTGCTCGCTGTTTGTTCCGCCTTCGGTTTCTCGGCAGAATCCGATTCCCCGGCCAAAGGATTCGTGCCTTTGGCGGAAGTTTCCGACTTTCCCTGGTCCACTGAGATTTCTGCGGGGTTGGGCTTTGCGGCGATGTTGCCGTTTCGACTTGTAGCTTGTACCCTCTTATTGAGTAAGAGCAATAATCGCTCGAGGGTGTCGGCTGATTTCTTGTGGTGCTCCAGCATAGCGCAGACAAGCTGGCTGAGTTGATGAATTCGCTCCACTTCGTTCCCCATAAGCACCGTCATCTGCTCTTGACAAATCGTCTTAGATTCTTCAAACTTGTATTGAGCCATTTTCACTTCTTCCACAGAGATCTTATTCCCCTTTCGTTTCTTGCAGTCAAAATCGAGCCTGCGGCCTTGAAGCTTCTTTCGATGCTGTGCGAGTTCTTTCAGCTGTTTTTCGTCTAACTCATGCAACGGCATCAGGAAATTCTCATGCACTTGTGCGTCCATGACATCTCGGGTGTCGGCGACTTCGATCAGCGCGCTGCCGACGTCGAGTAAAGCAGAAGCGTAATCAGAGGCCTGAGCATCTAAGTCATGGCCGCTTTTCAGCATGATGTCACCAAGGGCTCCTTCGGGTTGAGGATACTTGGCTCCTTGTGCAGCCATGTGCATGTAGATCTTAGCGCGTACAGCAGGATTAGGCTGAAGATACTCCTTGGTTTTGCCAAGTAACTGCGTAACCAGATTTGTCATTACGTCCGTTTTCCGCTCTAGTTCGACGAATTCATCTTCCATCTTGGTTCCTTCGGCCGAACCCATCTTCTCGCTTACGAACTGATTCGCCTTATTAATTTGTTTCTTGAAACCCGCAAACGACATGATGAACTTTCAGTCGTGAGGCACAACAAGGGTGCTTCGAAACGTTGAGCTTAAGTTGTATTCGGTTGAAGCCAAGAAAAAGGTGAACTTTGATCTGCGACCGGCAAAACAGCTTCCTCGCTTGAAACACAAACCACGGCACCAAGGCAAATGATTGCAAATCACTCTACTGCAGTCCTGTGAACGAATTCATTATTTATCTCCGCAGATTCAATCGATAACTTTGGTCAATCTTATTTTAGCGACTAATAATTCAGTTTATTTCAAACCAATGAAAAGATTCCTTAGGCGGCGTTGAAACNAAAACAGAAGAAAAAATTAGCCGTTAGGCGTGAAAAATTGACGAATTCTAACCGTTAGTCGAGAAAAATGTTAACTGTAAAAATTGTTATTTTAACAACAGTGGAAAAGAAATAGCCGTTAGCCGTCAAATTTTAAACGTTAGCCGTAAAAGCCATCACCCCATGAAAGACCCTCATCTGACTCTTGCTCGCACTAACGGTCTTGGTTACGTCGTATCCATGTATAATTATCCATTATAAGATCCTCTCTGAATTCATGTTATGGAATATACTCGGACGAATAAGATATCAAAAAGAAAGAAGCGCGCTTTTTCCTATTACTCGTACATTAAATTTATTGCATTATTGTTATGCATCAGACAAAACAGACATTTTTTAAAAAAACTAATTGCAAATTTCTTGTATAATATGACCTTTTCCATCTGTAAGACATTATAAGGTTCTTCTAAATTTGGAGTTACAGGACAGGTTGTAGTCTTATTGTATGTTATTATCGTAATTGTCTTATTGTTAACCTCTAATCTGGCCAACTTGATAAATGGTAGAACAAGCATCATTTCTATTTGCGTATTTCAGATGAGTAGAGGCAAGCTCGATGGGAGCGCGCGAAGCATGCACAAGGGAAAGAGCTCTTTCCCCTCGCACCCGCCTCGCGCTAGCCTTCGCTCACCTGAAAAAAGGCAATAAAGAAATTATGCTTTCCGTCACGGCAAAAAACATGACCAATACCGTGATAACATGGCTAGCATCTTTGATAGAGAGTAAGCTGATCAAAAATTCCGGTACCAGTACATTAGGAGCTTCAGGAAAAACACCGTTTGTACAATAATCTGGTTATATACGGTGTAATACATGTTAGGACCATGTATTTATAGGCCTCTCCACTTGGCTTATTTTGTGAAAAGGCAATAACTTAAGATAGTGGAATTACACTTTACCTAACTTAATTCAAAACTTAGGAGAATTGTGTGCACTCGGACAATTAGTATAGGGAACCTGGGGCGGATCTAGGGATGGTTCGGGTGGTTGGGTCGAACCCCCCCTAAATTTTCCCTCAGAACGCTGAAAATCATGTTGCCGAAGACCTAATTTTCAAAATCTCGGACCCCCTAGGAGGGGAACGATTCTCCGAACCCCCCTTGACTAAATCCTGGATCCGCCCCAGGGAACACTTGGCTGGAAGTGTTAACCTATTTTTTTTACATTCTTGACATCTTTGGCAAAGAAATCTTCATCTGTTGAATTAAAGAGATCCATATTATTTTTACACACTTAAAGGGGGCCCAGGTAAGAGGGTTGAATAGCCAAGCAAGAGAGAAATGCATGGGAAATAGAAAACTCCATACGTTTGCATGTCAGAAGAAACAGTCTTAGGACATAAAGAGGTAGGAAACAGCAAAGATTGTTAGTCTTCAACAAATGATTTTTAGAAGAAAATAAAAATTAAGAAGATCAGTTCCAATGTGTGATGTGTTGTTACAGGCATTCTAAAGAATTACAGTGTAGAACGAGTTAAGGTGACATTTCCTGTGAGAGTGAAAAAGGAAAGGAATAAAAAGTGATATAATTATGTAAATGCAATCTACAGACTTGCAAAAATTTGATTTTTCACACAATTGCTTAGTTTGTGCTTAGTGGGACGAGTAGTAAACAGTTTAAAAAGAAATTAACCTTTACATTTAATGAATAAAGAATAAATCTTAATGTGCATGTTTTACCAGTGCCCAGGTGAAAATAATCAGAAGTTTTGTCCTACAAACCTCCCTGGCCAGAAACCCAGTTAGGCAGAGGAACTGAGCAAAAGCTAAGAATGTTGTGACTGAGTTGGCTTGGCAACATTCTAACCTGAGGTAGTTTATATTACTTGTGAGCAACAATTTTGACTTTTTTCTCTTTAATGAGTCAGGCAAACATAGGGAAACCAGTTGAAGCATTGAGTGATGGAAAATTGACAAGAATCTGGGCTAAGTAGCAGAGGATTACTCTTGGTTTAGCTCTTGGTTCTCTGGGGTAAGGCACCTACACTGCAATTCTTTCAGTCTCTTCCTCAAAGAAGTACAGTGGTAACTAAAACGTAGCAACCTGTACAAGCAAGCATGTGCAACCTGTACAAGCATTTCGATAAAGGAAATACTTCAATACTCCAGGTTATTTCTCCAACTTTTGGTTTCTTCCACATCTTTTTTTTGTGAAACTTGCATTCATTTTCTCTCACAATCAAGCGCATGCACCTGTGGTTTCATCAGTTTAACAAAGTCTCTCTTCAGTATATCAGTATCAAAATCAACCTTTGGTCAACATTTTTCTTTCACTTGCTGAAACCAAGATCTTATCTTAGCTGTTTTAAACTAAGATGAAAGCAAGGATGAGAAAAACATCTAAACCAAAAAGCCATTTTACCTGTAACTTCAAGTTTGCTCAACATGGGTTTTAAAAGTTCTTCAAGTTCTTGTTTTTGTTTGTAGATCTCTTCAACTGTTGCATGTTCTTTGTGTGATTCTAACCAGTCATTCTTCTCATCACAGAAACGGTTACCACTCAGCTAAATTTGAACAGCAAAGGGCAAGTATTAGATATTGTACAATCATATGTTTAGATATTAGAAATCAGGACATGCCAAAACAACCATTCACCTCAGTGTTGATGGCTAGGGATGAATAATTACCTGACGGCTTCACTGCTCTGTAAATATCCATAGGCTTCAATAACTTTTTTAATAAGGGGTCAGTGATGATAGAAAAGAGGGCCATAATTTGAATTGTTAACAATGAAATATTTTAAAACAAATGGTAGTAAAAGGCCTTGATAGGTCACATGGGCAGTGGTAAACCCTGGTCACCAAATTTTAACAAAGACCTCTCAGTTACAAGAAAGTTGTAGTCCCAAGCAACTGTAACCCTTACATTGTAACCCTCCATAAGTTGATACCTCATTCAGATGAGTTGTCTTTATTCTCCAAAGTATGTCTACTCTTGGCTCTGTCTTCAGTGGCATTCAACAGAGTTGAAAAGTTTGTGACTGTAAAACTGATGGACAAACCTTGTCTTCCCGAGTAAACCGACCCATGTGCTTCTCTGGATCTGATATTGTATCCTTGGTTGCAGTTATAACAGATAAGAGGGCGTTTTGAGCTTCTGTAAAACAGAATGATAAACCATATTCCAAGTTTCTTGCATAGATGAGTGGTATATTCAAAGGATTCTTCCTTTTTTACAGTGAAATCTTACAAGTTCAATTGCACCATTAGTCACCACTACCTTTTGTAAAGTGACCTAGGACACCTGAGGAAAAATCAGAACTGATGTTCATTACCGATAATAATGGTTGAGGACAAAACGGTAAGGTTATGATGTGTTCAACTATCTAATAAAAGAGATATCACTTATCAGACCCTTTTTAAAGAGTGTCGTAAAACCAGGAATGAAGTAAAAGACAGCAGCCAATGAGGAAAAAGGTGAACATGACAATCACGTAATGAGAACTTGTAGTAAGTATGTACAATGTAAGTGAAACTGGCCTGAAGTGTTGGAAAATGGATGCAACTAAGTGGAGCTAGTTTTCCTGACCAGTTACAGAGAGTAATAAAGCAAAACCAATGCAACTGCGCTTTACTTTCAACACTCAATGAGAAATTATGCTATCATCGTGTGTTAATACCTGCTCTATCTAGATAGTCCACACAGGAGTCTTTCTGATAGCGAGCAGCAGCTTCTCTCGCCCTTTCACCATGAGCATTTCGTATCTGTATATCAGCTCCATTTGCGATCAGAACTCTCAGACAGTCAGGATGTCCCCAAGATGCTGCTCTGTGCAAGGCTGTATAACCTAAAACATTCACCTCGTTAGTGTTGGTTTTCCCTTGGGAAAGCCGACAGTAGTAGAAGGAGTTAAGTGGAAAGTACAAGAGAATATTCTCTATGTTGGACAGTTGGACAGCTTAATACTCCAAATTTCGCCCATTACAAATATAACTAAATTATTCCACAAAAGTGTCGACCTTCCCTTTCCCCAGCCTCGGACAGGTTCTGACAATTTCACAGCATCTTGACACTTTTTCTAACTGATAAGTTTTTTTTTTTCTTTTCGGTTGTCACCTATAGTAAATAGATACACTTCTTTAAATGATCTCGGCTTCAGTACATCACCTTTCTTGGTCTGACTATTTATATCTGCTCCGCGCTCTAGAAGCTCTCGAACGAGTTCCTGGCGTCCTAACATAGCTGCAATGTCCAATGCTGATTTGCCAGCTTCATCTCTTTTATTCAATATCTGCGCCGGATGTGTGACGTATACACTTTCCGGGTCATCAAAAAGCCCTCGAAGTCTTTCAACATCTCCCTTGGCTGCGATTTCAAATAATTCTTTGCCCATTTTTGTGCAAAACTCTTACTACAAGTCATACAGCTCTGTTTACCGCTCAACCATCTCGGAAACATACCGCTGACCACTAACTACAGTGTTGTTAATGAGAAGCATAACTAATGCTTTGTTTCGACGTCCTCGTCGTTGGGGCTTTGGAAAGAGCGTTTCCTCGCCCGTTGGAAAGTATAAGGCGTCTTCTGCAGCGCAAATGGTGAAGGGCTGTTCGCAAGCTTTTATTTCGACAATTTTTCATTAAAGAAGAACGAAACCCCAGCCTATTTAACTCCCTCGTTTACACAATCTTTCCGAGTCCTTGTTTATAACACTCAATCTCGCAATATGTATAGTATGTGGTGGTGGCCGAGAACTGCCATTAAAAATATTCAAATTTATAAGAATTATTTTTGTTATTTTTTTTTTAATTTCGATTTATTTCTCACTTTTCTTTTTAAAATAAAAGCAAGTGAAAGTAAAATGTAAAATAGAAATAAAATGAAACCAAAGATAAATGAAATCAAATCAAAATTAAATACTACCCGGCCGAGCGCTGCCACTAGTTATTTTTTTATTTTTTTA